ACGTACGTAAGGTAACGTAACGTAACGTAACGTAACGTAGCGTTACGTAAGGTACGTACGTACTCTCTCTCTCTCTCTCTCTCTCTCTCTCTCTCTCTCTCTCTCTCTCTCTCTCTCTCTCTCTCTCTCTCTCTCGCTCTATAGTATAATGGACAATTACTTTTTTCATCCCGTAAATGGGCGAGTGAACGATACTGCTCTCATGTGGAAAGAAAAACTGACGAGATAATGTCATGCTAGTCTTTATGGCATTCTCTCAGAGCCTATACGTTACTCCAGACATTGTAAAATGAAACAGAAAAAATTAACGGAGAAAAAAACGTCCATTCACGCATAGAAACTGCATAAATAGCCGTCTATATGAACGGCACAATGATTTATTCTATCAATATTTTTTATCGACGTGCGCACATAAAATTCTTCCCTTGTATCGACACCAATATTCTCGACCCCTGTATTCACACACATATTCTCATTCTTGTATTCTGCCCCAGTATGCACACTAATATTCCCATTCTGGTATTCTCGCCCCAGTATTCACAGTAATATTCTCATTTTGGTATTCTCGCCCCAGATTCACACTAATATTCCGATTCTGGTATTCTCGCCCCAGTATTCACACTAATAGTTTCTCATTCTGGTATTTTCGCCCCAGTATTCACACTAATATTCTCATTCTGGTATTCCCGCCCCGGTATTCCTGCCCTCTGTATCATTCCCGCGACCCCGCACACTCGGCAGGCAGGGGTCTGCCACAACACGGCAATCCCGATTTCCCAAAGCGACTCTCTAGCGATCGGCGCAGATGCCTGCAACAGCTGCAGCTGCCAACGCTGTGCCGCTACCGCAGCAACCGTTTCAACAATGTGTCACTGCCAAAATAAACAGCTCGAAGATCTGAGGTCGGGTTTCACTGGGGGGTGGCTGCTCCATCCACGGCACGGGATGGTCAGGGGGAGGCATCACTCACTCATTCCGTAAACTCGGCATGCTACTTACTGTACGCGCGCGCACCGAGCCGGTCAAAACATTGACGGGTGGACAGTGCGCTGCGCACAATAACGCAAAGCCACCCACACACCCCAAGACGCGCGTGTACGTACACGCGCGCACGCACACGCACGCACGCACGCACGCACGCACGCACGCACGCACGCACACACACACAATCTCTCTTACGCACACACGCAGTCGGCACGCACTCGGTCCTTGCATCGTCCAGGAGTTGAACAATTACCCGCACATATTCGCCACACTGCCTGCCATTCGATGATTAGGTGAGCGCACGCTAAGCTCACTTTACATTTACAGTGTGCGCGCGCGCGATGCGTGTTTGTGTATCGTATGCAATCGATGGGATGCGTACATGAAAACGGCGATATTTCGTCGTAGATACTACTTAAGAAATCTGCAACGAGTGCATACAGATAAATCAATTGCTAATTCTGCATCCAGTGCAGCCTCCGCTCTGCTTTGTGTGTACATACGAATTCACATCTTCACACTAATCCCAGACACATGACGTCACGAAGCACTCACACAGCCCAAGGAAAAGACTTATTGATCGCGAACGCATTTGAAACCAGCCTCGGCAAAAACTCGGGCGAAGAAGCGGGTTTTCATAAAAATATACGGGCATTAATTACGAGATTTGACAGCTGTAAATTTTCAGCTTGCTTTAAAGCCCGTTAATTGCACACCGTGAGAGCATAAAACCACGGGCACTATTAGATTACCGCTAGACTTTGCCACTTACTTCACGAACTTTCTTGGTCAGTAAAACATGGTAGGTCTCTCTACAGGCTTCAATCAATCAAATTACGACCGGCCAAGTCATACGCACTCGACACCCTGCTACTCACCACATCCACGTTACGCAGTTTTGTTTGTTTCGAATTTCCGAATATATACCTTCGTGTATTTTTAGGTGTACCGTCGATGCATGCTAATTGGGAGGAAGATTTCCAATAAAACCCAATATCTAGTATATAACTAGGATGGTGGTCGCACGTGTAACGCACAAATAAAACATTTACATCTAAATAAATTTACGAGTTTCAATCCGTGTGTACATTTTAATGTTCGTGACAATGTTATTTCAGGATGTATGGGCACATGGCAAGTTATACACTTACTATAGAATTATACTTAAATCACACTAGAATTACAGAAACCAAAAAAGGCCAAATTCATTTTAGCATACCTCAAGTACCTTAACTAGGGAGAAATCACTACAAAATTATCAGTTTTCTAGAGAGAGAAGGAATGAAACTAAGAGTGATTGTGTGTGACACGTAACACCAGTTCACGGAGCGGGTAATTGGACATGTAAATACGTCCGTGACATTGTCATATTACATGCAGTTTAATGAGAGCCCTGCAGGTAAATGAACCTGTAAATGAATCCAACCAGCTCGTGTCCAATTTCACTTTAAAATAACAACGGTGACATTTTCAAGAGCTTATAAGGGGTATAACGTGCCTGTCAGAAAATCGGTTAAATGCCAGTTTACATTCAGTTGCAACAGTCGAGAGAAACAGATGAAGAAAATATCTCTGGCACACTGCCAGCCTGGACTTCACTCAGAGACACGGTAGTAAGTAGTATGACCTGCAACTATCGATGATGGCAGTTTCTGCCTTTACTGTGTCATCGAGGGATTTTATTACTTGAAGCTACCAATGGACTCATCATACCGAGCCCATCCCAAAAATAACTAAATCCGCCGTCGGCACCCTGACCTCAGATCCTTCGCATGTATCCATATGAAAACGTTTGTCTCAGACTTTCTCACAAAGACACTCTATACACTCTAAAATTAAAATAGACCACTTAGTTTACGTGAGGCTACAAACAGTGACTCCCACCTCCAACATACGTAAAGCCCAAACCCTCGAAAGTAGGATGAAAACTCCTGATTTACAACGCGAGACCGAACGCACTTTACACACCGCGCTCGTTTACAATGCCAATTTATGGCAAGCTGCTGAAAAGTTCACTTCTAATTATTACACAAAAAATTCCATCATGCAATACGATCTCACTGTTAAAATTAACTGACGATGTTACGTTAAGCTAAACATACACATGGTGAACAGTTTCATTTTGGAAATACATTTTAAATTATGTGCTTAAATATAATTGCAAATGTTAAGGGATAGGAAGCACGCACACACAAATTTAATTAACAGGGCAGACTATGAAAGCCAAGGATGAAACTTTCCCCCTATGGAATGCAGTGCAGTATTGAAAAAATTTACAGAAAATCTAAGTTTAAACCAACCTACCTGTTTTCTCCTTGATCTCACAAAGTACACTGAACAGAGCTGGCTTTAATCGGTGGCAGTTCAGGGTATGCTTCCTATGCAAAGAAACACTTCACTTTCAATCAAAATATTCTTGACTGGAACGTAAGGTCATTTGGTATTCAGGTGCATGAGCTTCTCCCCATTTTATAATAAGTACTACCTACTAAATTTATTATCTTTTTTTTTTTTTAAAGTGTACATACCTTGGATTGATTGACTCGCCCTACTCTTATTAAATTTAGATCGTAATCCAAACAACCCAATAAAATGGATAAAATTTATTATTATATGGACAAATTGTTTTCATCATACAATATAGTATGTCAACCGATTTCTAACAGTAAATAAAAGAACGCATAACGCATCTGTTATGTTACTTGTTCTGAAATATAGTTTCTTCTAATAAAATTTCTCATATTTTTACTTGCTAAGATGTTAAAAATCAACTCACTCTAACATAACTGCAAAAAATAGTTTTATCAAAATGGCTGCTTCAATGTATTTCTAAAGATTTTCAGACAGTTTATGAGAATTGATGATGGTAGGCCTACAGTTACTGGCTTTCTAGCATCTTGGAGGTACCCATTGCCATTCTACTATTAATTCAGGAACCCTGATATAAGAAATAAGGATAAGAAATTGGATAAGAATAATTTATTGATGAGGAATTTTATGGTAGGTATACCTACCATAAAATTCCTCATGTACCACACAATGTTAATCTGGCAAAAGATTCACGTTCACAGTGATTTGATCGATTTCTTATCCTTACGTGATACATAGAAATGTCAAGAATCAATTATTGATTTATAGTAGCTATCGTGGTTCCTAGACATCACGACGAACGAATAGGCCCATGCATGTGCATAAAATATATGTGTGCATGACATTTATTTACATGTTTTGGAACATATTTCGTGAAGCATATTACTATCCGAGATCACTGCGCTGAGGGTCCATAAGGACCATAACTATTTATGCTGATCTAACCAGCAGTAACGTGACATTGAGAGGAAATGACAGTGTCAGTGTTTTATTATTTAGTATTCAATGTTTTTCAATTTAGTTTTGTGTTTGTCGGGGTCAGTGTATCAGGGGTAAAAATGAACTTTTGAACACCCTCAAAAGGAGGGAATCCGCAGCAAAATGAGGGAGTCCGCAGTCTGAGGTTCAAAATTCAAGATATTTAAAACAATAACGCATGAGCTTATTTTTAAGATTCATGCGGTTGCACGTCTGTCAAATTATCTTTGGATATTGGCTGAAAAAATACGGTATTTCCATGTGGCCGTGCTCCGGAGCGAACTAGGTAGTATGGCAGAATTTTCAGGGAGTCACACGGACTCTTGCACATATGTCAAATCAGGGAGTCCGACAGTAAATCCGGGAGTATTTGACTCCGGACTCGCATTAATTTTGCACCCTGGTGTATATACGCAATGTTACACACAGAATTGTTTTCTGTGTACACTGAAATTATAGCTCCCTAATAGAGTTATCGCATAATTACATTCGAAGACTTGTAATAGGATTAGGAATACTACCTAGCTTGTGCTTCATCCAAACTCTGGTCTGTGATATTCATAATCTGTTGAAGAATTTCCCCAATTTCTCGCTTTGTGTTTTCCTGGTCATGCGGAGGTTGAGAGGGATCGACCGTTTGCATATATCCTTGTGATATGCCATGTGCCATAGTTGCTGATGCTCCGTGCCCGTGCATTAGTCTTTGTTGATCATCCATTACGGGCTAGTCACTTAGTGTAACTTTCGTTCCTGTGCTTCGTCTTCAGCCTTTTGCCCTGCAATCCACGAAATTGAAACGAAAAAATTCATAGCAAACCCGCACATTGCAAATCAGCAGTATATTACATAATAGTGCTCGCGGTATCATTCAGTCACCTAGAACACAAACCATCTGACTGACAGTCTTATGGCTATTATGACGGACAGGAAAATGTTTCGGTGGGTTGCACATCGATTGCTGAGCAAGTCAATCTCCAAACATGGCGGATCCTGTTGGTCTAATACCTCATTAGAATATCAGCTAGCCAATCAGTGTTCTATACTGCTGCATATATTACGATTTTATCCAATAATAAATCGTTTCACATGAGTCATAGTCGCGGCCACGCCCAATGTACTTAAACGTGTGCGCATGTCCAAGATGTCAGCCCACATGGTAAATAATGTCAAAATTTTACCAAACATTCAGAAATATTAATACTCATTACTGCAAACAGAATTGAACGCAGTACGGTACAATTTTTTGCGCCGCGGAGTGATATGTTACTCACAGGCACTTGGAGCGTTTCAATAAAATATAATGCTAAATAAGTATTACTATTACTATTACTATTACTATTAGTATTAGTATTACTATTAGTATTACTTTAGTATTACTATTAGTATTAGTATTACTATTAGTATTAGTATTACTAGTATTTTACTATTTTTACTACCAAAGCCAAAGCAAAGGTTTCTCTAGGACTGGTACCACTCTCTTTCACCTAGTAGTAGTAGTATTAATATGATTGCCGACAATTTCTTGTAAATGCCGTCCAAATGCTCATCTGCAACACACGCTGGCCGCCGCACGCTAGCTGCTGCACACTGACACATAAATATATATAATATAGTTATAAGTTACGCAGTGCCAGTGGCTACGGGTACGGTAGCCGTCGGTCGTTGAAGCCCCTTTTTGGCGTTAGGGTTAGGGTTAGGGTTAGGATTAGGGTTAGGGTTAGGTTTAGGGTTATGGTTATGGTTAGGGTTAGGTTTAGGGTTAGTATTAGGGTTCTAGCTCATCTAAACTCTCAAATCGTGAATTTATTTCCCAAGGCGTTATTTCGAAATCTGGCGCCACCGCCGCCATCTTTGTCTCGTTAAGTATGAAAGCGAATGGACTCCCGTACCCGTAGCCTCGAGACATTAAGATACGGCTACCGTACCCGTAGCCACTGCCTATAAGTTATGTATTATGGTATAATTACTAATTAGTAGCTATAAAAATTATAACTATATATTTATGTGTCAGTGTGGCTCATAGGGTCTAAGTCCCTCAGGGTGCTGCCGGAACGTACCCTGGGTACAGCCCGGTATACCGGAACATACCCTGGTAACTATCTAATATGGTTAGGGTTATAGGGAGTAGGCGCGTAGGCGACTCCCTAGACTCGTTAGTGGAGTTGGCGAGGTACGGTCCAGCATATTATTAGATAGTACCAGGGTACGTTCCGGTATACCGGACCATATCCAGGGTACGTTCCAGCAGTACCCTGAGGGACAGGGGAAAAAAAGTATTTTTCGGGGGCTACTTTTCAAGCTCGCGTCCATGAAAATAGCATTCTAAAATTTGGTTTGCATTGAACTCTATGCAAATTTACGGGGGCTCTTTTTGGCATTTCCGGGGCTCTTTTTGGCATTTCGGGGGCTAAATCGCCCCGATCCCCCGTGTATTTTTCTCACTGCTGTGGGACATGGACCCTCTCGGCGTCAGTGTGCAGCAGCTAGCGTGCGGCGGCCAGCATGTGTTGCAGATGAGCATTTGGACGGCATTTACAGGAAATTGTCGGCAATAATAGGTGAAAGAGAGTAGAGAAACATTAGACTGGTAGTAAATACATTTCGTATTTATTTAGCATTCTATTTTATTGAAACGCTCCATGCAAGTGCCTGTGATGTTACTAGTTATTCCACACACGAGTGAATTTGTGAAAATGTTACGTTGGGCTTAGTCAAACTGTCATTTCACAATTCTAGATCAGAGGTTTATGTCCACATTTGGATTTCCAAGCCCGTACATCTATGTTCATAAAAATACATTTTGTTACGCCTCTAGCCAGGTGGCTTCGAAGGGGATCCAATATGGTGGCCCACACTTCAGCCAATCACAGCTTGTTCTTTGTTATGAACCATCCCGTGATAGGTCACAGCGAAACGTGAACCGTTGAAAGTGAGTTTGCTTTTGTTTGGGTTAGGGTTGTATCCAGTGGATCGAGATCCGTGGATCTGACCAAACAAACACGCCCATAGTTTTTTGTAATCACAGCATTTATCGTGTTAATTGAATTCTCTCTTCTTGCAGGTGCAGTGTGACTGACATCAAATCAGTTAAAGATGGCTTTCTTTGACAATCCAGCCTTCATTATCTCTCATATCCAAAACTCATTTGTCTCAGGAGATGACACTGGGTTATGTGAACTCGTTATTGTACAGGATGAAACTAGCCGTCGCCCTGTCGGTATAAATAAGTCTGCATGGCCGTGGCTTGCTGCTAATGCAGGTAAAGTTCGAGTTGTGGGTAATTAATCACCTTCCTTATCTGCAGTTACGGCTTAATTACAAATTGGGATTATCGTCGTGTGAAAATGGGTCTTTACTTTTCACATTCCCACCACATGTTGCAGCACTGTTGCTTGAAACACTTAGTCATTTCGATTTTAAACGTTTTTTTGTGTTATGCACTTCATACCATGTTTTCATGATAAGGATATATATGTATATATACTGTATATACATATATGTATATATATATTCATGAGAGAATATTGTAATTCAGTATTATGTAGGAGAAACAGGGAAACCATGCAACATGTTTTCAATCTCGCCTTGATATATACTGTGATATTACTCGTAACAAAGACATAAAATGAAATGGTACTATATGTAATGTACATATTTATATGTAATAACCTTCTGAAGGGTAATTCGTGCTTGACTGGAAAATTGTTACTATTTGAAAGATATATGCCAGAAATGATTGTCACTGTCTGGTTATATAAAAATAATTTTTTGACGTCTTGTTTCAACTCTGCTGACAGAAGAGGATGATGAAACGGAATTGGCGCATTCCTATGACATCACAGCAGACAGCCTTGGTACAAGAACACGGCCACGGTCTGACACGGCATTTAAGTTGGATATGCTGAAGAAAGATAAGCTTATCAAGGGCAAGGTGAAGACAATACAGTGGAAGGAAAATGTTGAGATGCCTAGTGGTGAGTTTTACATAGTAATTTTGCATGACTGAATCAAATTCAGTAAAAGATGTCCCCTTTCTTTCTTTCTCTTTCTATCTCCAAAAATATCTGTCTATCTTAATTTAAAGGGATCCTTTACTCTAGGTTCTAGGGTTATTTTCAGTTAATTTAGGTTAAAATTACGCTACATAAAAAGTTTCATGGTTCAATCACCATTAGAATTTTTTTTTTAATGTTTTAAAACTAATGACTACAGTTTGATTACAACGACGGTGGCGCCACTCAAAGTGCATGATCTGGAAAGTTGCGCAAAACGACTTTTCAGCCAAGGGCTACAGACCGAGGGTGTTTCTTATTTATTAATTTAAAAGCAAAAGAATTGTAATATCTTATAAACGACATATAGTTTCAGTTATATTATGGATAAATTTGTCCTAAAATCAACATTATTCGGCATAGCATTTAGGCATGAATATAATTGCACCTTTGTGGTTAGCCCTCGGTCTGTAACGTGCAAAATAGATTGGGAAATGCGCAACTTTCTCAGGGTGGCAGCACAGTCGCGGGTGTCAATGGCGCCGTTCAAATTTCATAGCGTTGATGTATAATTAATTATAACAATTAAATTAGGCAGTGTTCGAAATAAGTGCTATCCGATTGTCCTCACTTGTCCATTTCAACGGAGGACAAGTAGACCTGTCCAGTAGCTTATCCGCTTGACAAGCAGCTTTTTAGAGCAGCTTTTTAGAGCAATTTTTCATCATTTTCTACCATCGCTTCACCTTTGTTAAGACCAGTAATAACTTAAAATAAATAATTGTGCTTCTCTATGTTCTTTCAAGTTTGGTGCCTATAATTTGAACTGTTAGTGAACTGTATTAAAATTACAAAGTAAGATATTGGGTCTAAAATTTAATTTTATTAAATGTATAAATTACACATCTATAAAGTTGTTCTGCCGAATTAGTCTGTTCGCGCATAACTAGAGAACTCCGCAGCTTAGAGGAAAACTAAAGATATTTTCAGAATCAGCATGTCTGGGAGGTGGTTCTGGCTGAAACAAAAATTTATAAAAATTAAAAAGTTAAACATTCGTAAAAAATTTGATTGATCAATAGAATGGCGGTCACGTACGTACACACAACATCACGTCTGAATCCATGGTGCATAACTGTAATGGTGCAGTGGGTTCATCACTACAACATCTGTCTGCTACACCTGGATTCCGGGTTTGAGTCCCAGCTGGGGAACTCATTTTCCCCTTTTTTCCCTTTTTTCCCCTTACCTGCCTCTTTAGTATGTATTATT